TCCTTGAAAACAAATTATATATTTGTTTGTAATAGCAAGAAGCTTATCTAAGTATTCATATTATGATGAGTGGCTTTCTGTGCAAAAGTCCTCTATTTATCCAAGAGTGAAAATGCAAGTGGAGGTAAAATACAAAAGTAATGTGTATTTTAGTCCCAAATGTATTCCATTTTGGTAATTCTTTCCATCTGGTGTAAGGAACAAGTGGTAAGTCACTTCAAAACTCACATCAGACCTCTTAGCAAGGCACACCATAGCTTCTAAAAAAATGTAAAGAAAAATATCACTGGACAGTTCATTACTACCTTTGATTCAGAAGGAAAAAATACAGATCCAGAGTGAAATGCTCTCCAAAACAGGATCAGAAACCAACAGCAGTTTTGGCTTAGATTTGGATTAAGCACCCTTCTAATATTTAGCTTTAGTTTCGAGTGGAAAAGTCTGGATGCTCAGATCAAAATATACCGTGCAGAACACTGCCTTTGCCCAGTGAAGTTGCCCCATCCCTACAAGTGTTGAAGGTCAGGTTGGATGAGGATTTGAGCACCCTGGTCTAGAAACCCTCATGGCAGGGGGCTTGAACTAGATGATCTGTAAGGTGCCTTCCAACTCAAACTATTCCACTATTCTATGATTCTACTATTTTTTGCCTCAATAGTAGCAGACTTACTCAAGTACTCTTCACTTCTGTATAAATCATTAATCTCAATCTATCGTGCCTATTGGCTGTTTCACAAGTTGCCAACAAGACCTTAGCCTTTAGAGGACCCTCAGGTCCTCCTCCCAAGAGCTGCTTTGCAGCAGGTCAGCCCTCAGCCTGTGCTAGGGCCTGGCATTATTCTTCCCCGTGTGCAGGATCCTGCATTTGTCTTGGCTGAGATTCAGACAGTTCTTCTCTGCCCATCTCTCCAGCTTGTCAAGGTCCCTCTGAAGGGCTGCACAGCCCTCTGGAGTATCAGCCACTCCTCCCAGCTTTGTGTTATTAGTGAACTTGCTGAGGAGGCCTCTGCTCCTTCATCCAAGTCACTGATGAATACCTTAAACAATACTGGCCTCAGTATTGAACCTTGGCAGACACCACAGGTGATAGGTCTCCAGCTAGACCCTGTGAGACTGATCACAACCCTGGGATCTGCCATTCAGCCAGTTCTCAATCTATCCCCCTGCCTACCCATGTACCTGTTCTATTGGGTTTGTGCGGCAAACTTTTGATAGTGGGGAGGGGGCTACAGAGGGAGCTTCTGTGAGAAGATGCCAGAAGACTTCCCCATGTTCATCAGTGACAATGACAGCCTGCTCTGGGACAGAACCAGCACTGGCAAAGGCTGGGCCACCCAGAGTTGATAGTAACACCTCTGTGATAACATATTTAAAAAGAAGAAGAAGAAAAAAGAAGGCTGTGTAATTGTGGCCAGAGAAGAGTGGGGTGAGAATATGTGAGAGGAACAGCTCTGCAGACTCCAAGCGAGTCCAGAAACAGGGTAGGAGATGCTCCAGGTGCCAGAGCTGAGATTCCCCCGCAGCCCCTGGTGCAGCCCAGGGAGGCCCTGGGGGTGCAGAGATCCACCTGCAGCCCTTGGAGGAGCCCCACACTGGAGGAGGTGGGTGCCTGAGAGGAGGCTGTGACGCCATGGGAGGCCTGTGCTGGAGCAGGCTCCTGGAGGGAATCTGCAGACCTGTGGAGAGAGGAGCCCATGCTGGACCAGGTGTAAAACTCCTTTCTCTAAGAAGCAGCAGCAGAAATAACCTGTGATGAACTGACTGTAATCCCCATTCCCTGTCTCCCTGCACCCGGGGAGAGGGTAGAGCTGGGAAGGAGATGGGGGCATGGGAGGGGAGGTGGTTTTTAGGTCTTATTTTGCTTCTCATTATCCTGCTCTGGTTTTGTTGGTAATAAATTCAATTAACATCCCCAAATTGAGTCTGTTTTTCCCTTGATAGTATCACTCACTTTGGTGAGTGATTTCTCTCCTGGTTTTCATCTCAACTCATAAACCTTTCATTATATTTTCTCTCCCCTGTCCAGTTGTGGAGGGGAGTCAGAGATGCTTTTGTGAGTGTCTTGCATCCAGTCAGTGCCAACCCACTACAACTATCCTGTCTCAACCCAACAGTTTTCTCACTTTTCCACTTCTTTGTCTCTCCCTGACCTCCACCAGGGATGTGAGCACCTGTGTGTGGCTGCAGTTAAAGCACAACACCAGGTCACAAACCCTCTTGATCCCAAAAGCTGCATGGCTGCTGCCAGTTACACTCTCCATCCAGATTCCCACCCAATTAACTACTTTTAAAGTGAAGAAGGTCCACAAAGTAACTACTTTCTCTTTGCATGTGTTTTCTAATGTTAGTACCTCCTCTTCCTGTGGCGAAGAAGTTCCTCTAAGATACTATCAAGGATGCACTCAATATAAAGCAAGTTTCAAAGGCAAGTAATGAAAAAGGCATGAGGTGAATCACTCCTCCTTCCTGCTCCAGCCCTCTTTTCTGAAAGTGGTTCCAAATGTTTTTCCCTCTGGCTAGGTCTGACATTCAAAATGTTGCACATGAATATATTCACCACAATTACAGGACTTGACTTTTCTTTAGAAACCTTCAGACATCTGCTTTTATGAATTCTCAGAAAGGCCATCAGGAAACCTCAAAATATTTATATAGTGGATAATCCAAACATGCGTATCCAAACCAATTTGAACGGTTAGATGTTTCAAGGTCAAACAGTCAATACAATCTCTGATTAGTAGTGCTCAGCAAAAGGCTAAAGATTTTTTTCAGGAAATGCTGCCTAAACATTTTTAAAAAATCTGTTGTAGCCATTCGATTCTATTTCTTGAATTCACTTTCAGATCAGCATTCGAGTTACTATGTTTCATTAGAGCAAACAAAAATACAGAATACTCACAATCAATGACAATGGATACTCACAATCAATGACAGTGCATTCATATGTACCACTAGTCAAACCAATGGTGCTTGCAAATAGTAGGAAAAAAAATGGTGTGAAATACTGTAATCAAAAATGAAAAATATAAACTCATAAGGAAATTCTAATACACTTGTAGGTTGCTTAGAAGCAGGGACAAAAAAAGTAAATTGAATAAATTATTCATTATAAATTAGTTTTTCATTTGTAGGATTAAGGAGGAAAGAACAACAATTATACATGACATTTGCTGCAGGTCCACAAATAGATTCACTTCCTTTTAGTGTCCAGACAAGTATCTGATTTATTATATGGTTTACTTGGGAAGAAAAACTGTGTTGATTACTTTCGGCAAAATAAAAATATTTTCTCTAAAACATAATTTTCAACATTATACACAGACATGTGACAGTGAACTTTTCCTTCTACCAGCATGGCATCCAAGTTCTAGTTATTATCTCAGCCCATAAGATACCAAAATTATTTAGACTGAACTTACAAACTTCTATAAAATAACAAGAAATTTTCATTGCAGACTGGTGCATGATAGCAAGCTCATATATTCCTAGCTGTAGAATATAGATGTTGAAAGGACACAGGAGATGGAAGATCTCCAAAACATGAGTTTCGACGTATAAGGCAGCACTTTTTTAGCTGCTATTTAAGAAGGGGGAAAAAACCCACAAACACATATGTCTGTTTTTACTGGACTAATGTATCACAAATTAAATTGATTATTTTAATTGCATCTATGTTTTGTGCTCCTGAGAGTGTGGTCATTTCAAAAATATGGGGAACTGGCTGAATGCCTTCCTAACCTGGATAATCCAGCTGCCTTAACTTCTCTCTTATTTTGCTTTCCATACATTTATCATCCAGAAAAAGTGCAAGAAATGCTCCCTAGAAGATGCTTAATACTCTAGGACATTTACTAGTGCTGTAAATGAAAAAATCAATTACTTCAATTATAATCCTAATTTTAATTACAAAGGTTTGGTATCTGCACAGAAAGGAAGGTCTCATACATTTTGATACTAACAGACAATAATACACTGTCAAGCAAGTGTATACTTGTGAAATTCCATTTCTTAGCAGGACTTTTAGCTTATTTATTAATGGAAACTGTGTTGAAGTAAATAATAGAGAAATGACTTCTTTTCCCCCTTCTTTTTTGCAGCTGTTGCTCAGTAGTGATTTTTAGAATTTTCTAACAGAATGTGCATCCCTGATTTGAAGTGGCTGTGACACTAAAAATATACACAGTTGAGTGAAGGTTTAACAACAAAAAATAATTTCTGATTCATTTTCCTTTCTTCTGTTCTAGGAAGACTATTAATTGAATAAAAGTGCATCTTTCCCTGGTGGTAGGATTAGGGAATAAATTGGATGTTCATCTTACTCTTGGACTTGCCACAGCCGGAAAAATTCAGACATTATATTTGATAGCACTTTCTTCTCTATTTGGATATCTGTTGTTATGGTGATAGTTCCAGGAGGAAACATTAATGAGGATGACTTGAAAGCTTTGATGTGTACAGCACAATTATTTTTAACACCTCATAAGAAAAGGTGACAGTCAGTTAGTACTGCTCCTGGCTAAAGATGAATCATTGTATCAGCTTTCATGAAAACTACCTGAATTTCTATTTGTTATGTATCTGTAACACAGTGTTGAATACAAATATGTAACAAAAAGGATTTGGAACAACAGCATGCCTTCCCCCCACCTCCTCATTTTCTCACAAAGGATATATGCTGTTATTCTTAGGAAATTTGTTACAGTAAAAACTAACTTTAACTATGCAATACAAATTTTAGAATATCTGTATTGCTCTTGTGGGACACCCCAAGAACCATCCAGCATGATCTCTCATATCCATAAGTAAGCTGTGAACAAATCTCCAAACCCACATTGCTGAGCACAGGCCTGCAGACACACTGCATCACCCAGACTGTCGTTCACCTGCAGAGAAAAGCGTTAGCCACAGAGGAGCTTTCGGCCTGGCCCATTCCATCTCGGAAGGGCTCCGTGTCCATGACAGAGCGTGGCTCACACCTCGTGCAGAGGGCATTTACTTACATAGTCCTCGTAGGGCTCATGGGCCGGCGGCGGGGGCGGTCGGTACCCGGGCACGGCCGGGGCGCCCCGGGCTCGCGGCGTGGGGACGCCCCTGGCCACGGGCGGGACGGGCAGCGCTCCGCGCGTCACCGGAGCTCCGCGGGGAGCTTGGGCACCTCGTCCAGGCAGCGGCGGGGGAATGGCACCCCCACGGCCCCTGCGGAAGCAAAAGGAATCATCACTCTGGCGTGCACAACGAGGGAGGACAGGCCCCATTCTAAAGGCTCTCACGCTTTTACTAGTATTGAAAGCATCATGTAACTCAGGGGTTTTGGCAGCTACAATGTCAAGCACTTTTAGGCAACATCTCAGGCAGAACTCATATTATGGAAAGACATTATTTTTAAACTACCCAGTGTCTTTTGCACCTGATCCTCTTTTTGCTTGTACTAATAAAATTCCGAATCGTTGCAATTCACAGGGCCGCAGAATTACTCCAAAGCAGTTCTAGAAAATGAAGAAAACGAGGAACCTCTTCTGTTGCTCTCAAACTATTTTACCAGAGCAGTCATCACTTTCATTTTCATGCTTATTGGTGGGTGAGAGAAATGGATTGGCAGAAGATATTGCAGGACAGCAGAAACTTTCAAGGCAAAGTAGAGAAAGAATAGAAAAGGAGAGGAATAATTTTTCTTCCTGTTTAATTTAGTTCAGCACAAAGGATTGGCAGTGTGGGATTCTACCTTCCCCCACTGCACAGAGAGAACAGAGCATATAGAGAAGCATGGAAAGACATTTAGCATCTTCTGGGCTATTTATGCTATATCTCCCTTGCTGTACAAATCAGTAAGTCAGAAGAAGCTGTTTAAAAAGACTTGTATCTATACCATATAATGAAATAGAAAGGGGATAAATCAGGGTAGGAGTCTGTGAGTTTTGTTTCACAGCAATATGCTCCTGGGTGTGCTGTCTTTTTGGAAGACTGTGAATGCCAGTATAACAAACCCCCATGACAGCCAGATCCACAGTTGTGAATGGAACTCAGGTCTCCTGTAGCAGTAGGAACGGTGGCTTGTTCCCTGCTGAAACAACCAAACCCATTGGATTACCTTGTGATGTTTGTTACTTTACTACAAGTTTCAGTAGCTGATTTTAGACTTGCAGAATCAGTGAATGGTTTGTGTTGGAAGGGACCTTCAGAGATCCTCCAGTCAAAACCCCATGCCTTGGGCAGGGACATCTTTCACTAGATCTAATTCTGAAAGCTATGTCCAACCTGACCTTGAACACTTCCAGTGATGGGGCACCCACAACTTTTTCCAGTGTTTCTTCCCTATGTCCAACCTCTTTTCATTTAAGACTGGCAAAAAGACTCTCTTATTAGCCTCTTTATACATGGAATGGCTGCAATGAGGTATCCCTGGGGCCCTCTCTTCTCCAGGCTGAGCAACCCAGCTCTCTCAGCCTGACTTTGTAAAGGAGAGGTGCTCCAGACCTCTGACCATTTTTTGGTCTTCCTCTGGACTTGCTTAAACAGGTTTTTTTAATATTCTCCTGGGATTTTTGACTGGAAAAAAAAGGGAAGGCATCCTTGATCATAGGATCTGTGCAACTGATTAAATAATTTGGGCCTTTTGCAGGAATTAGGGGCCAGAACTCCACCTATTATGCTTTGAACCCTATTTAAAAGCTGCTAGTTTGTTGCAGTGACATTCTGAAAAACATTATTAAGTCAAGCTGTTCAGAGATCATGAATGTAAGAAATACTGAGCCCAGACACTATTTGAGTAGAAGATGATGATGAATGCCAACTGCAAAAAATTCTGTGTAAGTGCATCATACTACCAATTAAAAAGCTCATGTAGGAAAAACTGATGGTAAACAAGATAGACACCCTCAGGGAAAAAACCTCAGAGGTCATAGGAAAGATCAGCCCATTCAATTACTGAACAACTCCTTTGTCAGCATAGCATAAGGTACCCCTATATCCTATTTCTTCCAAAAAAAGAGTCCAGTTTTTAGGACTCATCTTGAAATGACCTCTATGGAGAGAAGACTGGAAGCAGCTAGGTAGCTTAGATACTTGAAGCAATGAAGTTCTTAAGGGTTCACAGGGAAAAACAAGTCTGTGACAATGTTCTAAGATTTTACACTGGCCTTAATAATAAGCAGAGATATATGTTATTTAGATATGAAAAAAATACTTGGGCACATTCACAACCCAATGTTTTTAGATTATGCCAATCAAATTCACTTAAAACTGATAACCCACCAACACATAACATATAATGAAATTTATATAAATAGGTATATTTGTATATACATATAGTATAGCTTTAATATGTATAAAAAGTAATTATTTGTCAAATAAAGGTCCACCTAGACTATGAGGCCTTCTCTGACTACACTAGTATTTTTGAATAAATATTTTATGCTACTGACCATACTGCCTTAGTACTAGCATAAAAGTATTCTTAGAAATATCCATTTCCTGTCTTCATAATCTGCTCTCATTTGTTGTTACTCACTGTGCCCGGCGACCTATAGATCAGAAAATCTGGAACAATATAGACCATACCGGTTATCAGAAGACAAATATTTTGGTTTACTGACCAGGATATGTATGTAACTGTCTTTTTTTTTTTTTTTTTTTTTAAACTACAGGGTTTTTTTTACTACCGCTTATATTTGTAAAGCTACTAACATAATAGCTCAGGTTACCACACCTTGAAGGAGCTGCAGGTGGCACACGGATCCCTCTTCCTCGAATGCCCCGTCCGCGTGACGAATCCTCAGAACCGTTCAAATACGAAAGCTCTCTCAGCTGCTCCTGGCGAATTTCATCATTATAATCCTGAAATGCAAAAGGTGAAACTTCTGAAACTTTGTATTTTGGGTGAGCTGGCAAACCACCCAAACCAGAAATTCTGCGGATGGTATTTTGGTGAGTTGTTCTGCATTACCACTGGTATGCTGAAAAATTGTACAAGTGGGAGTGGACAATTGCCTATAAGATATGTACAGAAAAATGTGTATGTACGGGTGGTCATAAAGAGTATGAACATGCAAAAAAACCCCACAAAAGGCATAGAAGGCATAAACATAGAGAAATGTATATCCTGAAACAGTCAAGTAACAAAGCTATGTTTACTATGAAAAATTAATAAATGAAATAAAATAGGCCCATTTTAAGTCAACAGGGTATCGACTTCAGCACTGCAATTTCTGTTGACTCAGTAAACAGAACACCAGATGAATTTCCTTCTCTCACTAATACAAAATAGAATTGCAGACTCATAAAATGGTTGGGGTTGGAAGGGACCCTAAAGATGTAATTCCAAGCCTCCTGGCATAGACACCATGTTGATTTCCTCTTCACTGGAATGCATTATTGGGTGAGGTGATCCTTGAATATTAACTATGTCTATTGGGCCCCTCTGCCTTCCAGTGCTCTGTCCTACTGCAGTCCATGGAGCAGTTCCCTGGAGAGAGCAAGGTCTGCTCTCCTCAAGCCCAGGCCAGACCTTGCTGAGCATTCTCCTCCCTGCCCTAAGGCTCTTGAGCTCCATCATTTCATGGTCACTGCAGCCCAGGCTCACCTTGAGCTTCACCTTCCCCACCAGCCCTCCCTGTTGGTGATAACAAAGTCCGGCACAGAGCATCTCCCCAGTGGCTTCCCTAGCACCAGGAGAAGGGAGTTATCCTCAGTGTATTCCAGGAATGCACTTGCCCTGCTGTGCTGTCCCTCCAACAGATCTTGTGGACATTGAAGTCCCCATGAGGACCAGTGCTTGTGAACCTGAAGCTGCTCTTTTCTGTCTATAGAGTGTCTCATCCACTATAATACATAATAATGGAAGTTTACTTACTTTGTGTTTGTCCAAATTCCTCTGTCAGAAATTCCTTTTTTTTAGCTTCCTTCCATTTTATCCAGCTTTTTATGGGCTGACCACTGTACTGAAAATCTGCTGCAGCAGCCAGCTCACTGGCAGCACAGCTGTGTGATAGCTAATTATTGTTTCAAAACAGAAATGTTATTGAATTTTAGCTCTTCTGTCCTTCCATTCCTCCACAAGCAACTGCCATTGACTGTCATGCAAGGACCTCAAAATGCATTACAAGTGACACCTCTTTCAGACAAGCTGAAGACCAAGTAAATGGTGAGTTTGAACTGAGACCTTGCTCATTCCTTCTTCCACCTAAGGAGGTGAAGGAAATCTGTTTAAAGATATGATCCTGATCCTGCTGTGTTCTAAGAGTGTAGGCTTGGTCACAATTTCCTTTCTAAATTCTAGGGAGTGTAGCTGGAGAAAAATCTATTACTGAAATTCAGAAAAGAACCCTATTTTTACAATATAGTGTGTGATAATTGCAGCATAATCATAATTAAAAATAAAATAATTTAATTTATTAGGCAAATCCACAATTTGATAATAGAATAGATAATGGCTTTCATTTCATACCATACCCAAATATTTTGGAACATTTTTCTATCCTTCTAACACTAATAGTTATAAACCAAAGACATCTTCTAAATCAATGTGCTCTGTGAAATACAGAGAGAAAAACAGAATCACTGAGATCACATTTACAGCAATTGTTGGAACAGGTACCATCTACTGTGCCCTCTTAATATCATCTGTTATTCATACTGGCTTTACAAGGATTAGGACTTCAAATTTGCTGATTGAGTTTACCCTCCAGATTCCACATTGGTACTGACACCAAACTTCATTAATAATGTAGGTACATCTTGTAAGAGGAAAATGTGGGAGGGAAAGAAAAAAAAAAAAAGGACCTGCAAGGGACAGAAATTGGAATTTCTGTGTTGCTGCTTTAACCCCTCTCTTTTGGAATATTGCTGTATAAATGAATTCTACTAGAAATTGCCTCAAAGAAACTATTACTCCCTCAGGTAAAAATATAATTTAAAATCTTAGTATCGACAAAACAGAAAATACAAATCGAATTTATAATGTACAATAAGTTCTGCAAAACTGCACCATTCTGTTATGCAATGCCCTTAGTTTTTGTGTGCAGGTTCCTTGCTGCACAATCAGTTAAGAAACAGTGTATTTTGAAATGACAAGGTAAAGACAGCAAAGTACACCCAAAGGAAAATGCTGGGACAGGTTTCTTGAAAGAGAATGTTTTTATTAAAAATATAACTCTATACAGATAATTTATCTTGCAGGCTCCTTAAAAAGCATAATAAGGATCATAATTTCTAAACATGAAGCCTGAAGTTTTCACCATAAATTTTCATTTTGCTTCTTCCCTTAAACAGAAACATAACACTGAATTAATCTTTCATAGCAGCTACAAGTATAGCTAGAGTCAGGGTATCTATCCTGATGAATATTTAATTGCATCTAAGTTCAGAGCCCAGCACGTGAGCAAAATTATGCTGCTGATGTTTCATATATACCTAGTCCCAAGAAAGAGTACATGATGTTTCAAGGTATACCTATACTGAACAAAGTACAAGGAAGTAGCTACACACTACAGCAGTATATTTTGTTTCAGGAAAAAAACGCAAAAAACAACCTCCTTTTCATGTTAAAATAAGCTCATGAAAAATGTGCTGTACTTCATTGTTTTTCTTACAGTTTTCTAGTAGTCTTATACCTATTCTTACAGCTGATAATCTACACTGACCTATATATTTTGCTCTTGTTTATAGCCCTACAGACATTACTACCTATACGCAGCTTTTTCAATTGTTGCTGATATGGAGGCTGCAATTGACTTGCATCATGGTGGTCAGTGTTTACTAACTGTGAGCTAACCACCCATGTCCATGACTATTCACCTAGACACACATCTGGACTTTAGAAATGTGAAGGATTTTCAACATCAATAAAATTATAGCATCTAGGGCTACCAAAAATTGCCATGTTTATGTAAACGCCTAAAAAACCAAATTACATGTTTAGATAAAATATTCAGTAGTCCAGAAAACATCAGCATATTTACCCCAAATTACCACAATTACATTTATTAATGAAGGTTTGGAGTGATTAATTAGGTTGGTAGCCTTGAATGTTGTAACAACAAAGGAAACCCACGTGCAGGTTTTCCACAGGAAATCCAAGTCTGGCTGGTGGCAGCTCACCCACAGCCCCTTCTGGAAGCACTGACAGGAGATGCAGAAAAGAGGGGAAAGAACATAAGCTGCTAAAAAACTCAGTAAACCATTCTGGCAAAAAAAAAAAAAGTCAAGTATGATGCAAGTTGCAAAACCTGATCTGAATTAACAAGAACATGTAGTGACAAGGGAAGAGAGTTTATAAAGAAATCAAAGGCACAGAAGGACCGAAAGGATTTGGGGAATATGTATCTATCCTCAGCATAACAGAGGCTCATAGAAGTCAAGAATAAATCAATCCTTAAAGGACTGTGATCTCCTGTCCTGATGTACTCTGCCCATTTAAGTTCTATTATAATTCTATTAATAAATATCATTACTCTTATCTGTGACAGCTGAATTTCCTTCTTACCAGATAGTTAGGGGAAAAGCAATTTAGGTTACATTCAAACTACCTTAAAAATGCAGAGTTGTACATGTCAAATCTAAAATGATAACCACAATATTTCACAGTGACAATTCTGAAGCATGAATAAGGCACTCTTTCACTCCCACACATGTAATATCCTCTGAAGCTCTGTGTTGCCAGCACAGAGCACCACATTCCCAGACATATGTTTGCCCATCCTGCCACACTCTCTTCCTGTGCTCAGCAAGCAGAAAGGGAACAGGAGATGGATTTGGACTCCTGCAGCATTTCTGCATCCTGCCCAGCTCCTTGCATCAGCAAAAGAATTCCAGGGCTCTGTGTATTTGCACAGATTCACTGAAGCTAGACAATCTCCCCTGAATTCTGCTGGTGCTGCCTTGGGGCTATTTTCAGGCAGCTTAAATTCCAATTAGGCTAAAATTTCCATTGAGTACATGCTTCAGAAAACTCACAGCCAGAAAATGGGACACAGAAGACTCAGTGAAATTTAGGAGGAGCTAGGTGATGGGAATATAGCCCTTCTGTTTTGTTTGGTTTTAGATACATTCTAATTTTGGACACTAACAGAGACATTGTCCACATGCCCCTTCTGTATATGGGGAAGCACTAAAAAGCACTGTGAAAATAACTGGTGATGAGGAGTTCCTGGAGTCCCTGCTTCTTTGTGTTCTCTGTGTCCTTACAATGGTAAACTATGCTATACTTCAGCTTCAGAGCATAGTGAGAGCCACTTATCTGGACTCATGGGGTCAGGATCTGCAGTTCAGAACACTGAAGAGGCCAAGAACCCTGGAATTTCCACTTTTTAGTTGAGTGCTTTAATATCAGGCTGTTACAAAAAATAATAGTATGGGCTACTCAGTACTCAAAGTACTTGACAAGCTAAATCCTGAGGTGACAAGAGATATTTGGCATTTCCTGTTACTTTTTTACATTTAAAATCCTGTTCTAAGACTCCAGTGCACTCATATAAACATTGAATTTCTTTCTGCACATATCAATAGCCTTTATCATTGTCAGGTTAGTAAACTTAGAACAGTTGTGCCAGGTAGATTGGATAGCCCTCTCCACCATCTAAAATTTGGGTGAGACAGTGCCTGAGGTGGACATGTAAATTAATTGCTGCACCTGGGTCAGGGCAACCCCTGGTATCAATCCAGGCTGGGGGAATGAACGGATCCAGAGTAACTCTGATGGGAAGGACCTGGGGGTTCCTTGGATGAGAGGCTGGCCTGGCAATGTCAACTTGCAGCCCAGAAAGCCAAACATGCCCTGGGCTGCACCAAAAGCAGCGTGGTCAGCAGGGTAAGGGAGGAGATTCTGCCTCTCTGCTGCA